TTAATCCCTCCCAATTAACCTCTTATTAGTTTAAATCTTCATCTTTAGGCCCCTATCTCCTCTCAAGGCTTCATACTTAACATTAAGGTTCTATAACTTTTATATACTGTAATCAAACTAAGTAAGGAAAACAAAATAAAGTTTTTTTTTACCAACTCTTTTTAATTTAATCTATTAATCACTTTAACACACATTTAGATTTATTAACATATAATATGTTTTAACTAATTTTTACATACTGTAAGCATTTACAGTACAACAATGGCACCTATAGCAAAATCTGACGTGTCCGTTTCCATAAAAAAATACCTTGGAGAAGTCAACAAAATATAAGATTGGTATAGAAATAAATTCCTTCTTTAAAGCATCAAATGATGCTTCTGCTTCTTTATTCTACTCAAGTTTGTCTTTACAAGTCAAATGTGTAAGTGGAGCTGCAACTTGAGAAAAAATCTTGATGAAGATTCAGTAGTAATTAGCAAAGCCCAAAAAGTATTACACATCTCGTACTATTCTTGAAAACTTCCAATCTATGATAGTTTGAACCTTCTTGGGATCCATCATAAGCCCTTCGTTAGAAATGATGTATCCTAAGAAGTCAACTTGAGTAGTATAGAATACACACTTTTTTCAATTTGGCATATAATCCTACATCTCTAAGTTTCTATAACACATGACGAATATGAAGTTCATGTTCTTTGTGTTCTTAGAGTAGATTAGAATGTTGTCTAAATAGCAAACAACAAAATCATCTAAAAATTCACGAAAAATATCATTCATAAGATGTTGAAAAGTAGTCGGTGCATTCGTAAGTCCAAAAGGCATGACATTATATTCAAAATATCCATACCTAGTTTGAAAATCAATCTTTCATTCATCTCCTTCTTTGATACAAACTAAGTTGTATGCTCTTCATAGATCTATTTTGGTATAGATCTTTGTTTGATTGAGTTGGTCAAGAAGTTCTGAAATCAAAGGCAAAGGATACTTATTTTTGATGGTGATCTTGTTGAGTCTTCGATAATCCACTTACATTCGTAGAGATCCATCTTTTTTCTTCACAAATAAGATAGGACCCCCGACTGGAGATTTAGAATGGCGTATGAAGTTCTTTGCCAAATTCTCATCAATATACTCCTTTAATGCAGCCAACTCATTCTGCGATAAGCTATAGATTGGTCCGAATGGTGGTTGAGCTCCTTCTTGCAGATCAATTGAACAATCATAAGGTCGATGCTCGAGAAGAATATCTGCATTTTTTTTTTCAAAAACATCTTGGAATTCTTAATATTGCTTAGGAATACTACTCGACGTTGTTTCACCATTAAAAATGGGTGTAGCATATATAGCCAAAGATGATCCTTCTTTTGCAGCATGCATGAAAGTTTTTGCACCTATTAGTAAAGGTTTGGACGTACTGGACTTACATACTTCTACTTTGCTAAGGCGATCTTGGATTATACTATTAAGAAAGTTAAGGTTACGAGAAATTCAATCTATTTGAGGGTTATATTTTTCTAGCCATAATAATCCTAAAATAATCAGATTATAGGGAGATTTTATTACATTTAATACTACTACGTTGTTATGATCTTTAATTGTTATATCTAAAGGAATAGTTTCATAGGTAACATTTCCAAAAGACAACGAATGACCATCTATGACTTCTACATGTACGGATTTAACTTTCTTCACTAAAGGTATTTATTGATTTTTGGCAAAATCTTCATCTATAAAACATGCTGAGGCTTCTGAATCTAACAAGACAAAGACTTTGTGATTATTAGATCCTAAATATACTTCTATTATAAAACAAGGTGAGGGATTTGAAGATGGAATAGGACCTTTACTAGGTGTTGCACATGATTCCAGCCGCACGGTCCCTATTGTAGCTGGAGAAACTCGTTTTTTGACACACTATCTTCTTTGGTAATTGTGCTCCTCATTTTGTAATTGTGTTGCTTCTTTGGATAATATTGAGCAGTGTGCTCAGCTTCTCCAAAATATAAACACAATCCCTCTTAGCAACATTGAGTCTTTTCCTACTTTGTGAGAGGTTTAAAATGTATCATATCAATTTGCATTGGTTCTAGCTTTGACAAATACATTTCAAAAAACTTGGGAGCTGCCGCCATTACTTGACTTGTTCCCCTCCAACTAAATCTTTGTTCTTGATCCCTTTCAAATAAACGATTTTCATATGCAATGGCTTGAGTAATAAATTATTCAAAAAATTCTACTTTTGATATTGTTAATAACAAATCTTTGACGCTATCCTTCAATCCATATTAAAATTGATTGATAAGTACTTTGTCATTTCAGTCCACGTCGCAAGCAAGATTTTGGAATTCTGCAGCATATGTAGTGGCTGATCGTGATCCTTGCCGTAAGGATAGAAGCTTGGTTTCTGCTACTCGTTCTTGATCACTTTCTCCAAATGTGGCCGTAAATACTTTTAGAAATGAATTCAAATCATAAAGGAATCGTGAATCTTTTTCCATTAAAGGTGCAAACTAAGAGAGAGCACTTCTTGATAGTAGTGCGCTTATAAATCCAACATGGATAAATCCATCAAGATATTGAAAAAAGTGCAACCTTAAACAGAGCTTGATTTGTTACAAAAATCCTCAAAATTTTGATCTTGTTCCATCAAACTTCTCAGGCATATTAATCCTTGTCCCTGTCATATTTATAGAAGCAAAACTCCCTGGATTTGGTTGTGATGTTGATCTACTTGCTTCTTTGAATTGCACAACTTCTTATCGCAAACTCTGAACTTCTTCCATATGCTTAGGCATAGTGCTTCCATGATTCATGTTGAAAATACGTGAGATTTCTACTCTTAGAGTGTTGACAAGCTCATGAAGATCTGCTATAGTTGCAAATCTATTCTCACTTCCATTGAGAGTAGCATCCTTAATCTTTCTTTTTGTAGATAATTCAAACGAATTCAAAAGTTAAATTAGAAGACAGTAATCCATAAACTCTAAAAATAAATCCCACAAAGAAGGGTAATCCACTTTCTTTAAAGAAAAGATCAATATCAAAAAATAAGATTTTTTGTTTAAAAGTGGATAGTCCGTAACCTTCAAAATACAATAATAGAAGTAGAATAATCCACTAACTTTTAGAATAAGACAAAAAGAATATGTTAGGACTCTTGTCAAACTGTCAAGGACATGAATCTTGAAGAAAGGGAATTCTCAATAGACTCTTCTATCACTGAAGAGAACTAGAAAGTCATTCAAAAGGTGATGTAATATTAACTAGAATGGCTATTGCCAAAAAACAAGAAGACTAGAAAGTCTTGAAATAAGACTAAGACTAGAAAGGCATTGACAAGAATAAAGAAGGGTTCAGTCTTGCCTCCATATATACTATCTAACTAAGAGCCACATCGCGATGTCCTATAAGACCTCCAACATGTGTTGACTTTGCTAACCACATGTCTTATCTTGCAAGGCAAGTTATCTATGTATGCGCCATGTAGTTGACTTTTTCCACAAGTTACTACACGGAGGTAACTTGTTCTACAAGCTACCAATACATGGTTAGCTTTTTGGCCAAGTTTCTAACCTATGAATACATCTAAAGTCAAAATCGCATCTATGAAGCTTTTAAGAAGCTTTTCTAGAAGACTTTATGAAATTATTCTATTTTACCTACTTCTACTTAATCATATAAGTAACTATTGTAGTAAATATATATGTCCGTCACAGAGGGCTTATCAACCATCTTCGAAGAGAACAAAGATTAGAGTATGTAGCAAATACAATTCGGGACATCTTAGACTTCCTCAACATATGAAGACTACTCTTTTTGGAACTTGTCCTTAAAAGAAGGGAGTAATGTCACGGACATACATATGTGTTGTAATAAATATCTATATAATTAGATAGGAATAGGTAAAAATAGATAAAAATAAGTTAATTTCATAAGACCTTTTAAAGAAGCATCCTAAAAGCTTGATAGCCACTACTTGACTTTACATATGTTTGTAGTTGATTGGTAGATTAGAAACTTAATCAATAAGTTAACCACTTATTGATAGCTTACAAAACAAGTTAATTATGTGATACATATATAAAAAACTTGTCTTACAAGTTAAGGTACGTGTCTTGCAAAGTTAACACGTTTTGGAGGTCCTATAGGATATTGCCACATAGCTCTAAGTTAAGAGTATATATGGAGGCAAGAGTGAAGCCTTCTTCATTCTTGTCATTGCCTTTGTAGTCGTTAGTCTTGTTTCAAGTCTCTCCAGTCTTTTTGTTTTTGGCTATAACCATTCTAGTTCAATATTATATCATCTTTGAGTGACTTTCTAGTTGCTTTCAGTGATACAAGAATGTGTTGAGGATTTTCTTTCTTTGAGATTCATGTCCTTGACATTATATTGACAAACATCATCTTTTTATTGTAAAAAATTAGACAATCAAATAATAAGTTTTAAAGGTTAAGTGACAAAAAGATTGTGAATTTTTTTTATTGAATCCTTCAATCTAATGTTGGCATGAGAAGATTGAAAAAAGAATAATACATGAGATTATTCACAATTTCAAAAAATACTTTTGTTATTCTTAATTGCCAAAAGAATGGAATAATAATGTCAAAACTGAATTAAACGTGTGAATTATTCCATGTGATTTATAAACATAATACCAACATACAACGTATATACCTTTACGTATTAAAAAAAATACAAGGTTCAAAGCATTTGCCTATGTTTCCACAAATGCCAGAAGATCGCTGAGTCAATGAAATTGCCTTCGTCGATGCAGAGGATGATCACTGAAAAGAATTATGGGTCGAGCACTTTAAAGGGAGGGGTGGGGAGAGGCCCTTTAAAGTGAGTTCAACTTTAAAGTTTGGGAGATGGGGATCGTAGCTCACTTGGTGCTGCTGCTGCTGCACTGGCTGGGGAGTGGAGTGGAGTGAAGATGAGGAGTGTGCAATCCACGTGTACAATCTCCTCGAATTGTGTGAGATATGTCCATACTCATTCACCTGGTCTGCGAGGGAGGGAGGACAGGGCAGGTTTGAATGAATGCTCGCTCGCTCGGTTGCATTCCTGTGCATCCAATTTCTGCAGTTTTTAGTGTGCGCAATCTGAGTTTGTGTTCGCTGAGGAGACATTCTTCGCAGTTGATTTTCGTCTTAGTTCCTTCTCACAGAGATGGCTATGGCGTCGTCCGTCCTCGGGACCTCTTCGTTGCTATTGCCCAACCAATTCCAGCGGTGCGCCACACCTGCTATCTCTCGGAGCTCACTATGGGCTTGTAGGGATTCCTCACGACCGCAGATTGTAGCAGCGCTCAGAAGCGGGGTTGGAGCCTTGGGAGGCAACAGGTTAGGGTTATCGGCATTGACGAAGGGTTCGCCGTTGCTCCTGCAATTAGAGAGAGTGTTAAATGGAGCAGTTTCGAGGAGAGAGAACTATGGTAGGGGTTTGAACGTGAGGGCACAGGCCGGGCGAGGAGGGGGCGACAGGGTGAATGCCGCGGAGCGCGTTGTCGCGGCGTTGGGTTACTTCTTGCCCCTCTTTGACGGAATTCAGTACGGGCGCTACTTCTTCTTGCAGTTCCCTGTGGCGGAGAGATTAATTGCGCCGCTGTTTCCGCTGCTGTCGGCATACAAAGGCTTCCCCTTCTCGAATTTCATTGCTTTCTTTGGGCTCTACTTGGCGGTGGTCAGAAACCCTAGTTTCAGCCGGTACGTGAGGTTCAACACAATGCAGGCTGTGGTGTTGGACGTGCTTCTCATCTTCCCTACTCTTGTGGAGCGCACCTTCACCCCTCGTGGCGGAATCGGTTTCGAGCTTCTCGTGATTTTCTACAACACCACATTTTTGTTCTTAGTGGCGTGTTTTCTGTTCGGAGTAGTTTCATGTATTCTAGGGAAGATCCCAAGGCTGCCCTTAGTGGCCGAAGCTGCAGATCAGCAAGTGTAAGTACAGACATCCAATTTCCATAATATCCGTATAATTTTCGCTCATGACGTTTAACCTGTGTTGTGATACGTCCCGCGACATCATCTCATCAGTTTCTTCCGCTCACCTTTGAGCTTCCGAGCTTCGCTTGTGGCATGATTTGTAGGTTTTATTTTCTCTGTGCGTGAAGAATTGCAATTGTTTGTCCTTGTTGTATCCAATTAGCCTTGCTCATAAATGGTTTCGTCATGAAGGATTGTTTGAAAGCTTTAGATCTTGGCACTTGCATTGAACGAAGAGAATGTATGATACTATGTGAATATGGAATCAAAGGAAGTGCATGAAGAAGGCGCAGTGAAACAATATTTTTTACTCAAATTTGTTCCATTTTGCAAAGTATTTTTGTGAGTGTATTCTATTAGTAGGAATACTGCAAGTGTTAAGTCAAATACTTTATTTGTAACGAGTAAGATTATGGTAAGACGCATGGGAAATTTGTTGTTTTACGAACATATGTGTATTTGTGCATGGAGACAAGTGGTATTGTTGTAGTTTGTGCACAACCTAATTTGTTAATTTATGCTAGATACCAATGTTATTGCTCATACAGCACTTAAAATCAGTGCTATATATTACTCAAGTCAAAAGAATGATAGTATAATGTGAACAAAATTCTACAAAACCATGACTATATTCCATATGTCAAATGTAACATTTACTCGAGCACAATTAACAAATGATTTATCAACGAATGGATAAAAATAAAAATCTACGTTGATAGTTAGCAACCTTGCTTAAATGTGAACTATTGGACATTTTGTTTATTACTTGGTAATTTTATCTTTACTGCTATTTAATTTTCAAATATTTTTGACACATTGTACACACTTCAAATACATGGCAATTTTTATTTTTATTTATTTATTTCTTTGTTTTAATTGTTTATTTGAAATTTGTAAATGTGATTATCTTTAATGAGATAATCTTAATTTATTTTTTCTCATTTTAAAAAATTTTGATCTATTGTTAATTAAGCAATCATTGTTAATATCAATGCATTTTTTAAAATATAATTTTTTATTACAATTTTCAATGTTAATAATAAATTAATTTGCTTTTTAACAATTGTTTTGATTTATGTTCATGTTGTTTTGTAATTTTGTGTGTTTTTCTTGTTTTGCTACTCAAACATTGTATTTCTTTCATATTTTTTTCCAATACCAAATAGTTTTCTCAAATAGTTAAAAATTTGTTGATCTACATTTTGGTGTATAGAAGTATTTCTAATGTTACTTATTTGTACATGTAATTGACTTCTTTTTAATATCCTACACTTATATTACACAAGCATTCTTGGTTTTGTAAACAAGTTTTATCAATATTTCTATCTTTTTAATTTTAAATACCAATAAAATATGAATGATTACGATTGAAAAAGTAATCTTCTTGGAGTGTCAAAAAGCAAATTTGTTTTATGAGATGTTGTTGAATATATACAAAACAATAATAATAGAAGATATTTTATAATATTTAAGGTGAAATATATAGATTTATCATTATTTTAGTAAAGTGCAGAAAATAATCTTAATAACTCTAACGTCAAGTAGTTGCAACAATCATGATAATACTAACTATTGCAAGTCTGAAATTCAAGACAAATAAATAAAGAATAAAATATTAGGTATTATATTTGATGGTCAAAATCAAAAATAAGAAGTTGCAAGCTTGGAGTATAATTCTATGGCAAGCCTAATTATATTTTTTTATAATAAAATCATCACTTTATTTGATTTTTACAACCAAATAATTCAATAATGATTTTATTTAATTATTTAATAATAGCTCTAATTACTATTTTTTTACATTGTAGATATCAAGTCTATTATGATTTAGAATTTGTTGAACATATTTTAAATATAACTATTAATATCTGCAATTCAAACTTTATATTGTTAACTATAAGTCTAAATGCTATTTACATTTTAATATCAAAATTACTTATGTTTAAGAAGTTTGCATTGTTTTTTAGGTGTAAAAAAAATAACATATGGTTATTTATATAATATATGATATAAACTTGTCTACATAACAATAATAAGAAGAAGGAGGGAGGGAGGTCAAACTTTCAAATAAAAGGTGGATATCATGATGTATGCCTTCCTAATATTAGCATTTATTTTGAATGATATAAGCATTTATATCAAACATTCACGTCTTATATTAAAAGATATCTAACTTGCAAAAGTCAAAAGTCTTGCAAAATTTGGAAGATGCAAAGGAAGGAATACAATAGATAAGATGATAGAACTAATATTTTTTTTATGCAATTACAAATTTTTATATTTAAAATTTCAAATGTTTAAAATGAGGAGGGACATATTATAGCATATCAACAACACTCTAGAAGTGATATAAATTGGTCTTTTAAATTAGCAAGGACTTATATTGAATGTGAACCACTATTAATATCAATACTAATCTAAAACATATAGGAGCTTATATGATTTTAGGATTTTAAAGTTTGACATCCTCAAAATAGTAACAAATCATGTATATATATATATATATATATATATACATATATTTTCATAAATATAATATAAAATAAGATAATATTATATTAGATAAGAATGAATTCTTTTTTCTTGCTTGTATTCAAATCCAATACCATGTAGAAATGCGTTGATTTGCTTTATGTAGAGAATTCACTCAATATTGGAAAATTGTCAACATTGTAAAAATATTCAAGTAAACTATCTCTTTTATTTTCTTTATTTATTTTTGGTGTGTTTTATTTTTATTTTTATTTTTATTTTTACATAGAGAGCTTGAATATTCATATTTAACACTACTAACGTCTTCTTTTAAAGATATGTGGTATCTTGTTTAATAAATGTATTTGTTTATCTTTTTGGGATATATTTAAATATTGACTACATTAAAATAAAATTAATATAAGATATTTTTTATTTTAAAATTTAATATGAATTATATATATATATATATATATATATATATATATATATATATATATATATATATATATATATATATATATATATATATATATTAAATATATTTAGTAGATGTTAGTACATTTTTTATTTTTATTTTTTATTTTTTTGAAATTATTGAATATATTAGCATATTTTTATCATATAATTTGTTGAAACTTAACTAATAAAAATATTTATTATTAATATTACAAGTTTGTATTATTTTTTTGTACTGGTCAAGTATAGCTTCTATTTTTATAGATTTATAAAAATTATTTGAATACCTAATATATTTAATTAAAAAATTATCATTTAATTTTATATAAATACAATTATTCTATAAAAAATAATTTAAAAGCTTAGTTCTTACATTGAAATAAAAAAAATAAAAAAGGGGTAAAATATCTTATAAATTTGTGTTATATATTCTTCTAAAATTATTAATTATTAAGTTTATTTTTTTATAAATAATAATAAAATATTTTAAATTTTAAGTTTTACTTATATTATATTAATCCAAATATTATTTTAAATATATAAACACAAAAAACATTGTTGTGATAAAAATATATTTTTAAATTTTATTTGAAACAGTTATCTGTAAAAAAATTATTGATATAAAAAAAATTAAAATTTAGTATATAAATCTATAAATGCAAATTTATTTTTTTATATAAATGTTTATAAAAAGATACCAATCAATCTAATTTTTTTAATGACATAAGTTCTTTCATATCAATAAATATTTTTTAAAGTTTTATCTAGATACTATTCAAGTATATATATATATATATATATATATATATATAGTTATATTTTTATTTTTAAATATTATATTATATTTATCAATATATAAATAGGTTAAATAATAGGATTTAAATAGAAATATCTGATTTTAATTGAACTACTCTCACGTGCATACATAATACCAATAATTAAAGTCTACAATTTGTATAATATATTTTGTAAAATTATAAGATTTTATTATATAATTTAAAAATATAGAAATGAAATTAAATTTTTAACTTTTAATATGTCACAAGCAACCTAAGTAAAACTTATCCTAATAACATTTTTTATTGTAAATTTGTTGATTTTATAAAAGTGCAACATGGTTCAATTAACTATCTATCATAATACTTTATAATATTGATCAGGTGACATTAAAAAGAAAGCTTGTACTACTATTTAAATTTAATTCATATGTTTTTGCTATCATGCATACGTCTAAATTTGCAGTAGTATATATTTTTAATTTTAGCAAATTAAATGCTTCCGTGTATAGTAAGTGGAAGAGATCAATTCTTATAAACCATGTTGTAGTTCACAACAACGGGAGACCATTGCTTCAAAGAAGTTTGTAGTAAGAAATAAAGTATGAGAGCGAAGAGAGGTAACGAAAGTAGAGGAATGGGGAACGGAGAAGAGGAATGGGGACAAAAGGGTCAGGGGAAGGGAGGGGCAGGGCAGATTAGGGCAGGGCAGGGAAGGGGAAGGGAGGGTAGCACCTTCCTGGCATCGTGCTCACTGCTCCCGGTGCTGCTGCTGGATGTGGCCGTCCCCGGTGGGTCGGTCCTCGGGTCCCTGAGAGGGAGGGAGGGTCGGTCGGTCGGTCGGTCGGTCGGTCAGTGGGTCCCAAAGGGCCCTGCTTCTCAAGCTCCTCCCTTTTCTTTCTTTCTTCCTGCCTGCCTTCTTGTTGCTCTTCCTTTCGTTTCCTTCCTGCTGCATCGTGCGGCTCGTCTTGTCGCGTTTCATGTTCCTGGCGATGGCCTGTGTTCCCTCTGTCCCAGGGGTGCTGCTGCCGTCTTGCTCGCTCTTGTGTTTGTTCCCTCAGGCGATTCGTCGCGCAAAGAAGAGAGACGACTTTTGACGCTAAGACGAAGAAAAAGAAGAAGAAGAAGCAGAAGAAGCAGAGGTTGATGACGATGTGAGAATTGGCGGAGTGGCGGGTGGGGAGGAGATTTGGAGGAGTTATTGGCTGGGCCAGGGGAGTAGCAGCTAGACGAAGACGCTTTTTGGTCATGGGAGCCTCGAGTTCGAAGCTGGAGAAGGTATTGGGAGACCAGTTTCCAGAGGGAGAACGATACTTTGGGCTGGAGAATTTCGGCAACACCTGCTATTGCAATAGTGTTTTGCAGGTATTGATTTTTGCGGGTATTTCTGCCGTGGCAGATTGAGTGTGCGAGATGCGTTTTCTATTTATGCTTGATCCTCAAAGAAGTACTATGGCGGTTAAGGAGATTGTATGAGTGCCCCGCACACTTGGTTCTTTCGCGGCTTAGCAAGCTCTGGTGTTCGGATTAGGTCAATATGGGGGATTTTCTCTAGAATTTCGTAGTTCTTTGTATTCGCATCCGCACGAGGAAGGTGTTGCGTTGATGACAGGATTGGAGTCACCCTTTTGTTGGAAGAATCGGTCAGCTTCAGATTGTTTCAATCAGAAATGGGATGTTGGTTTTTGTCATTTTCAAAGGTCAGTGGGCAAGGTGCAAGTCACCTCCATGACATTCGGGCAACAATGCATGATGTAAGATTCATTTGTGTGTTCAATTTTCTATTCTATGTAGGCTCTGTACTTCTGCGTTCCATTCAGGGAACAACTTTTGGAGTACTGTGGTCAGAAGAAACCTGTTGCGGAATCAGAAGAGAATCTGCTGACTTGCTTGTCAGAGCTCTTCACACAGGTGACCGATTCTTCATTATCAAATTTCGTATCAGCCAAGCAAGTGGACTCGACAGAGTAGCACTGCAGTAGTATTACTATTGATTGGTTCTGTGTTTGACGTTTGCCGTATGATTGAATGCAAATTCAATTCATTGTCATCTGTAACGGAATTGTGCGGTAAAATCGGGGTGTTAAACATGTGTTGAAAAACTTGAGGACTGTAGATAAACTCACAGAAGAAGAAGACTGGTGTGATTGCCCCGAAGCGTTTTGTTCAAAGGGTGAGGAAGCAGAATGAGCTATTTCGGAGTTACATGCACCAGGTGAGGCTCACGTCTGAATTAGTTTCCACAATTTCTATAATATCTCCTGTCTCCATGCGTGCAAAGCCTGTGCTGCAAGTCAAGTTGTAGTTCGCTTCCCATCAACCTTGTCTGTGAGAATCAATCATGGCATTCACATGTTAAGCCCTGATCTGCTTGGAACAGGATGCTCACGAGTTTCTGAACTTTCTGCTGAATGAGCTAGTTGACATCTTGGTAAAGGAGGCACAAGCGGCTAATTCAAATTCAGGCTCTCATACATCCCCAGAGAAGGTGGTGGGCAACGGGGCAACGAATGGATTGGCGAATGGGAATCACAAGGAACCAGTTGTTACCTGGGTGCACAAGATTTTTCAGGTATGGTTCTTCAACCCATCTGTGACGGTGCCAACTTCCTGGATGTTGTGAATGTTGGGCATTTTTGTGCCACGTGATATGGTGGACCTCAGAGAAGTCGGCGTTCTGGACTTGTCCAGTTGGGTTTATCTGACAAAGTTTGTGATGCGGTGATTGTTTTGCAGGGTACGCTGACAAATGAAACCAGATGCTTACGGTGTGAAACTATCACCGCGCGAGATGAGACGTTCTTAGATCTGAGCCTTGACATTGAGCAGAACAGTTCTATCACGAGCTGCCTGCGGAATTTCAGTTCCACAGAAACACTCAACGCGGAGGACAAGTTTTTTTGTGATAAATGTTGCAGGTGAGTTTGGTGGCACCACGCTTGCGCTGAATTTTTTGGGCTATGAGTTACGGTAGTTCTGTAATTGTCAGCACGATTGTTGGAGATTTGATCTCTCGACACGTACATATCCATATATGTCGGTGTTTGAGCACGAAGATGAAAGTTGGTGGTTTTTGGTCTGATCGTTAGTAGTCCCAACAAGGGCAGGAATGGATCGTGCGAAGCTCAGCATGATGTATGTGCGGAGGTCTTGTCTTGTTGCTTGGTGGAGCATGTTTAACTTATGGACTGGTCTGAGGGGAATGGAGATTTTCCAATAGGCAAGTATTGGAGGATAAGACAGAATACGATTTGACAAGTGTGGATCGCCTACTTTCATAGGGTAGCCCTGTGTGCATGATTCCAGCAGTTAACATCCAGGTTTTGTATCAGTTTGCAGGAGGCTCAGAAGAGGATGAAAATCAAGTCACCGCCTCGCATTCTAGCACTCCACCTGAAGCGGTTCAAGTACATCGAGCAGTTGGGGCGTTATAAGAAGCTGTCGTACCGTGTAGTGTTCCCACTGGAATTGAAGCTTTGCAACACGACGGACGATGCACCTGGGTCGGAGGCAGAATATTCGTTGTTTGCTGTGGTGGTGCATGTTGGGAGTGGACCAAATCATGGTCATTACGTGAGTCTGGTGAAGAGTCATAACCACTGGCTTTTTTTCGACGATGAGAATGTGGAGATCATTGACGAGTCCATAGTTCAGACATTTTTTGGATCCACTCAGGAATATTCTAACAATACAGATCATGGATACATTTTGTTCTACGAGAGTTTGGATCAGAAGAAGTAGGATTCGGAATTGGGAAAGCTGACAAAACTTAGATTGTGTTGAAAGATTGGTTGCCGTCGGCTCCTGGCATATCTTTCCTTTCTTTTAGAACGACGCGTAACGGTTGTCGGTGCTTAATGAATATGCACCTACAACCATTGTTGGAAATGAGTGTTCTAGATGGACAAAGATTACTGTCGAATAAGAATCCGCATAACTCTCTGTCATTTTACAGCTGTAACTGACTAGTATAATCACTAGTCTACTTGCTGATGGGGCGGATGATTTCGATCAGAGGTGAGGATGGCAATATCTTGTGAGATATGCAAAAAGATTATGGTTTGTTTTCAAAGAAATCTTAGAGGTTTTGTTTGAGGACATCCATTCGGTAATTAATTACAAATTTCTCACTTACAACTGGAGTTGTACGTGATTGTGGTAGATGGTAGAAGAGCCGAGCAGGAACGGCAGTAATCAAGTATTGTATCAACTATTGTGATGTCTCTCATGGATAACTCATGTAATTTGAAATTCTTCGAAAGTGTTCGAGCGGGGTTGGCATACTGGATGATCTGTAATTGGTATGTGGAGGTAGGAAATACGATTGTGAAGAACGGATTTCCTTCCATTGAATAGAGAGTTGAAGCTGGTGCCCTAGATACAAGCTTTAGTATTTTTACCAAACTAGGTAGGATTATCAAGTTGGGCATTAAGTCTTGTACAATTATGTTTACTATGAAGTTGGTGTTGCATTCAAGGCTTTCTGACAATGGCTTTTTGGGCGATTGCACAATTTTTGCTAGTGGTGAGTTTAGGATTGCAGCTAGCTTACATAATCTAAACTTAGTATTCCTGTTGGGTTGTGTTTCACCTTCGCACGTTGAGTTTGTAGAAAGCTTTTTAAATTTATTTTTAACTTATAAATTCTAAAATCTTGTAGTTATGCATAATTGTCATTGAGCTGACTAGCTTTGAGATTCCTTCCCATATATAGAAATTAGTAACTCTGAATGAATGATTGAATTTGAACCACTGACCATGCTGTCTAACCAAGTCAAGCTTTGGATCAAGTGAGCTTATTGCTCCAGCCTTCAGTTTCAGCTAATTTTTTAATGTATCGATTTTTGAGCATGTTTGTGTTGAATGTTTTCATTCCTGTTATTTCTTTTTCAATAAACGTAGTTTTAATTATTCATTTTTTTACCATGATATATATATCTATATATATATATATATCCTTGCTTTGATTTGATATTAACCTTGTCTTTCTAGTCTTGCCATGACTCCTAGCTCCAAAACAAGTCCTTAAATTCTTTCTCAACTTTCTAGTCTTAATGAATAAATATATCATTTTATAGTTTTAATTTTTTTTTCTAAATAATTATAAAATTTAATAGTTTAAATCTTTTATGATCTGGATTTCTTGTAAAAGAAAGTTATTCCAAAAAATTTGATTTTTGGTTTTAATCAATATTATTATTTATTATTTTTTAAAATAATAATTGTATTCATATTATGCATTTATAATGGCTTTGGCTATAAGCATATTCCAAGTTGCTATATACATATCCCAAATTGCTATATAAACATCCAAAAAAAAATAAAGATCTCTAATTGGTTGCTTGTTTTGTGGAAATTGTCACTTGCCATTACAATAGGGATCTTGCTAATTGATTAGTAAGGTGAAGGTATAGTACTCTTGTCGGGGTTTGATTTTAACGTTGTCTTTCTAATTCCATTGCAACTATTAGTGCTAAAGTAAGTTCTTAACTTCTTTCTTAATCCTCTAGTTTCATATATATATATATATATATATATATATATTTTAAGCATGAATCCATTAAACATCTCTATTGTCATCATTCATATTGTCCAATGCATATTCAAGTGCATGAGGCCTAAGTAATTTTACTCTCCATTATTATTTTGCCTTTGCATGTATCCAACAATGCAAAAATTTGAAAGACTCTTAATAATGCTTGAGGATTGTTAGTGCATAGTTAAAATTGTAAGTGTTAGTGTCATTTAAAAAGACATTGAAAATTTGACATGGAATAGAAGAAAGAAGAAGCAAGCACCTAACTGTGGAAGGTAAATAAAAATTCAGCAACAATTCTATTAAGTCTAATAGAATCTCAAATAAACTTTAAGTAAAACTTAAAAATCTTAATCAAACTTTGACCAATCCAACATAAATTTAAAAGAAGTTATATAAGAAATACAAAGAAGTCCTAAATTAATCTCAAAGAAAAATAACAAAAAATCTTAAAGAAATATAAAAATAAACCTTTAATGAAATAACAATAATCTTAAAGAAATATCAAAAATATTAAAATTAAAGAAATAATAAATAATTTTGAAGAAATAATAAAAATAGAAATCTTAAATAAATTTTAATAAAATCCTAATTTAATCCTGATTAAAATTCTAATAAACTTTAATCAAATCTTAGGTCAAATCCAAATTGAAATCTTAAGTAAATCTTAACCAAATCCTAAGTCAAATCCTAATTAAAACCCTAATTGAACCTTAATCAAATCTTAGATTAAATCCTAAAATCCTAATGAATCCTAAATCCTAGACAAATCTTAAATCAAATCTTAAGCAAATCCTAGTCAAATTCTAAATCTTAAACAAACTCTTAATAAATCCTAAAGCATATTGAAACCTCAACAACTAATGATCAAACCTTGATATCAATTCAAAACTTGCATACTTCTTAATATCTTAGTTAAAGTCAAACACAAGAAAGATGAAATTGATTGCACTTATCAATTGAGAGAAATGCAAGATAATCCAATTGGATGTTGAGCAGTCTCCTATTCCAATCTAAATGCTAAACTTCCAACATAAATTCCTTCTTCTTGAACAATTGAATTACTCTCAAATTTCAACCAAGCATTGAAAAAAAAGTCAAATATCTTTATAAAAAAAATTTCATTTCAATCCAATTGATAAAATGTTGAAGATCTTATAAACACTCACTAACCTTCAAACTCTAACTTTTGAGATTTCAACCTATAAAAACCCTCATATACTTCAATCTAATTGTTTGATTGACCTCAAAATTTGCATACACATTTACAATTAGTACACCAACACACCACCCAAATTTCACTTATACACATACTATAGAACTCAAAAAATCCTCAAATTTGTAAAAATATTTGAATTTCTCAAACCTTCATCCTACCAAGAACATCACTAATTTTAAAAATCCCTCAAAATCTCAATATTGATTCAAATGACATAAAACTAGTATCTAAAAACTTTTTTTTAGTCTATTATCAAATTCCACTTTTTGATCTATAAAAAAAGTTATTGATGGTATCAATAAAATGCATCACATATATGGTAATAATAAAGAGATAAAAAAATAAGATGAGATAGTAGATTCTATCAAGTAAATGTTCAACAAATAAGCATATAGGTCTTGAAGGAGAAAAATTTCACATCATTTTTAATCTTAAATAATATATAAAAGAAGATTTTTTAGTATAATGCAAATGACAACATCTACAACATATCATTTGTTATTTGTCAAAAGGCATTAAAAATACAAGTAATATAAAAATAATAGCACAATATTTTAATATCTATACCAAAGTTGTTATAAATTAGAAAATACAACATAATGGAGCAATTCATTGACAATGTAATCATAAGTGGCAAAGATACAAATTAATACATATCACAATTAAACCAAAAATAATATAAAAAAGTAGTAAAAAAGAAGAATAGAAAGATATTGTGGAGACAAGAAATCCATGAAATAAATACACTACAAAAAAAAAAAAAAAAAAAAAAAAAGAGAAAAGAAAAGAAAAAGAAAAGAAAAAGAGGCAAATGCAAAGAAGATTAGAAAAATACACACCCAAACATGAGAAGGCTATGAGTTCAACCAAACAAAGTGAATGAATGAATGAGGAAGGGAAAATGAAAATTTGCTAATGCATTTAGGTAGTTAAAAATGAAATCTGCAAGTTCATGATTGTGATCCTAGTGAAAAGCAACATACAACACATAATTATAATCAGTACAAGAGCCGAACAAAGCAAAAAACCACAAACAACATCAGATGAGGACAACCCAATAGCACATAGTAGGGGTTCATTTGGTGGATGGAGTCTCGACACAAGTCTAGGTCCTAATTCTGGAAACCACAACACTCCTGTGCCTCATTTAAATTGATTTGGTAACTGGTTTGGTAAGCAGTGTTCAATCTGCATTTTTTCTCTAAGCTGATCACATCATACTTACCACAGAAAAAATTGAACGATTTCCGAAAATGTTATTCAATACATTGCCAGTACTCAAAATAACGTTGTAAAGCGTTGGACTGACTGTCACAGTAGACAACCCCTTAAAAATAGTCATCCTTAGTTGTCAATATAGTTGAACAGACTTGGAAAACTTCCTCAAGGACTCAGTGGGTTGTCAGTCTATGAAGACCTGGAATATGTTGCTCCAAATTCACTACTGGAAATGGTGATGCTGAAAAAGACTTATCACTCTAGAAATAGGAATGAAATCGCTCAGGATGCAAAAAGAAGAACATTGCATAAACGCTTCAAGGGCACGCTTACACAAAATGTGAGATACGGCTGTTTATAAGTGATTCATTCTCGCATATCATGTATCAAACATCTACTCTTACTAAGTCATAATCACTAAGATATGCGAGATTGAATCACTCACAGTCATAATTACTAGTTGTTTTTCAAGAACTGCTCGGTATGTACCTGCAAAAATATGAACCATAGAGACAAGACCTGGCAGTCGAATATGTTCTTACTCATCGCCAACATTACTCAACATCAAGCCCTCTAGCTTCTTCTCGGCATCCAATTGTCCACATCCAAAGTTACGCAAGCAGTTTCCACTTAGCCGTGTGCCTGTTCTAACTGCTCACCAGACAGCTGAAGAAAGTAATGGGTAACATATTTCAGAGAACCAAGTACTGGATATTTGACAGAATAAGCTCATCCTTCGCATAATCTACCCTTCTTCATATCAACACACAGTTGCACATACTTAAACTTGAACTATTTTAGAGTCTCCTGCTATGTTTGATTTTTCTTAGAAGTGATGAGGTCGTAAGGAAATTGGGGAGCAGTCCGCTTTTTACCAACATTTATCACCTCTATCATCATCTTTAATCAAATAATCAATTCACCTGGCATATATGAAACATGGCGTCAAGCAGTCTATACAACTCCTGGTCTTTTAAGAGTCACACTATACCGACAACCAACTTTCGGATTCGTTTAATAAATCTTGAGCCAACAGTTATCTGAATGCATAAATACCACTGTCCCTGATAGCAGTGACTGTTCGAAACTTGATCCAACAATCAGAAGCCTCATTTGTAAAGAAATCACAAGCAGTATTATTTTTAACACACCTTCAAATCGCTTGAGCACATTTTCAGGCTTCGATAAGGTTGACATGGTAGCAATGGGCAGGACACGACCCGATCCAGCAGGATCCAAGTATATTGCGGCAACACGGCACACCTCTGGTGAGAAAAGAAAATTGGAGGGGGCTCAAGTCGTAAAAGCAATGAGCTCTTCCTATGATACGCAAGCTTCTGGCCATGTCAGATTAACAGGTAGGCCAAAATTCTGACCCGCTTTGCCCTGGACATTAAGGTTCTGATACGCTAAGATCTGATCTGGTAGTAAGATAGCCCACCCATTTCCAATAACTAAAGTATTTTAGTATATATGCAGTAAGTGTAAAAATGAAAGGAAAATA